GCCCCGGCCCGCGCCTGGGCTTCAGCACCGCGGACAGCGGCGTCGGCGCGAGCGGGCTGAACCCGGGGGCCGCGGTGCCCATGAAGGACCACGACGCCATCAAGCTCTTCGTGGGGCAGATCCCGCGGGGCTTGGACGAGCAGGACCTCAAGCCGCTCTTCGAGGAGTTCGGCCGCATCTACGAGCTGACGGTGCTGAAGGACCGGCTCACCGGCCTCCACAAAGGTGCGCGGGGTCAGCCCAGCCCGGCCCGGCCCGGCCCGGTCCGCCACCAGCCCGTGCCCTGCCCCCCGCGGCCCCGTCCCCTCCTCCCCCAGGAGCCCCAGCCCGGAATCCTCTCCGGATGTCACTCGGTCTCCTAACACGTTCTTCGCGCTCACCTCCCAAGCCCTACCCCACCTCTCACCGCCCGGCAGTCACGCCTTTCAGGCGCACCGCGCAATTCTTCCCATCGCACGGCCCAGATCCCGCAGTGTGGAAACTTCTCCCTCCTCCTAGCTCTCCCACACCCCCAGCTCCCGAACCTGGAGCCGCGTGTTCCCGAACCCGCCACCTGGTGCCGCCCCACCCAGGCCCAACTACTCACACCACTCCTCCAGGTCTCCCGCTCCGGCCAATCCCCAGAGCCTTCGCCTGACTCCCAGACTGCCAACCTGAAACCCCCCGGACCCGAACTCTCCCTTCCTCCGAACCCAGACCTGTCGAGCAGAAAGTGCAATTCGCCTCGCAGGAGGTTCTCAGTTCCAGATGGCCCCGCCTGTCCGACAGTTACCCCTTCCGCCGCCGTCCCTGTGCCAGAATCCCAGCGCTCTCTTTCTGATTTGAGACCAGACCCCCAAGCTCAGCTGGGAGCTCCAGCCACCCCGGGCCTCTTCATCTTTGGGTTCCCCTTAGTTGAATCCTCTCTTCTAATCCCATTTCCTGCACCCTTTGGTTCCTCACAACAGCCCCCTGCTTTCCTTCCCTTGAGAGCCCTCTCAGGGTGGGTCCAGCTTGAGGAGGAAGTGGGGGCAATCATCTCCCTGCCCTTTCTAGAAACACACGGACACCACCGTCTGTCCAGCCACACCCCTTTCTTCCTGAACAGAGGGAGGAGGCTTGTTTACAGGCAGAAAACTCTGCCCTGGCTGAGCTGAAGTATCAGGAGAGTCACATGTCAGGCGTGGGCAGGGGAAGGGGAAATAATTTTCTGGGAAACGTCCTCACCTCTCCGCACTGCATCGTATTGTGGTTTCAGGTTCTTGGTGGGGAAGGGGCACCAACTGCCTTTCATGATCCTGTTGTCGTAGAAGTGGGCCAGGAGTAATAACTAAAACCAGATTCCTAAGGGGTGAGAGCTGGGATCAAGCGCCCACCTCTTTTCAGCTAGGAGACCTAGTCTCCCTCGGGAGACTAATGTAAGGGCTTCAGGTCAATTCCCATAGAAGGGCTGGAACCATCTGGGTAGGGGTGGAATATGTTGGGTAGGCCATGGAAGGACAAGATCGATTCCACCATGCAAGTGCTTATAATGCTCCTCAACTTCCTACAGTATCTGTCCATCCACCTATAGTAACATTTTATTTTCTAGACATTGATTTCACCAAGTAAATACAAACCTAATCTTTATAGGCTATCTGTACAATAAAGGAAGTATATAGAATACCTTTAATTCCTTTTCTTCTCACTCAAACACTATGAGGGGCTCTGAACTGTTCCCTTACCTGCTCTTTCTCTCCCCTAGTTAGCTCTAATTCCCCCTCCACTTCTTTTGTCTCTCGAGCCATGTGTCTCTGTATTTCTGTCCTTCCCTTCTTCCACCTTGTACTCCACGCAGTCCACATAGACTTCTATAGGTAGGAGTTGGGCTCCTGCGCCTTTCAGACAGGCCCTGTGCCCGGTTCTGATGTCCGATGACTGGTTTGGTGGCAGAAGACAGGATAGTGATGTAAATGGAATCAGGCATTAAGGGATCCATTTCCATTCCATCTTGCACCTCTCCGAGACAAGTACCATCTTGAAAGATGATCATGGAGGGTCTCTGAGTCAACATTGTCCCCACCCTATCCCCAGCAATGGTGACATCTTGAAGCTAGAGTGACTCATGTTCCTTTTGATGGCTGGCCACCAAGGGCAGAAGCAACCATAGCGCTTTCAGAACAGCCCAGCCTTGGAGTTAGAAATTTCCACTGCCACTCTGTGGGCTTCAGGTTCTCTTTTGATATGATACGAGTCTGATAAGGGTTCTGTGAGGCTCCCCTAGTTCAATGAATGGCAGGTATCCCCCCCATCTTCAGGAGACAACCCTAATAGAAGACATCAAAAAAATTATTTCCATTTGCTTTTCTAGCCTGCTGAGGTCTAAGTGGAAAATTGCACCAAGCTCCTAATGGTTTCCGACATCTACTTTCTCCTCCTTCGGTCCTACACTCAAAAGGCTTTTTTAAAAAACATAGATCTTATCATGTCACAAGCCCACTTAAAACCCTCTGGTGGCTCTCCATTGCTTTCAGGAAAAAGTTTAAAATCAGATTGAGGCCTGTAATTCCTGCCTACATCACTAGCCACTCCACCCACTGGCCTCCAACCACTCTAGCCTTCTATTTCCCAGAACACTCTTTTTTTTTTTTTTTTTTTTTTTTTTTTTGCAGAACTGGTTATTGAACCTAGGGCCTTTACACTGAGCTACACCCCTAGACCTTTTTATTCTTTTGTTTTGAGACAGAGTCTCACTAAGTTGCGAAGTAGGCTGGGCTCTAAAGTGTGATCTTCCTGCCTCAGCCTCCTACAGTGTTGGGGTTACAGATGTGCACCCCACTCCTGGCCCCAAAATAACTGAATTCTTGACTCAGTCTTCATGCACATTCTTCCCTCTACCTGAAACAATCACAATCCTTTTGCTACCTGGTTCTACAGGACTTCAAATTCTTGTTCTTCAAAATGTTCCTTTGAGCTATTCCTCCTTTGAGCTATTCCTCATCCCTCTGGACTCAGCTAGATGCCCCCCATGATTTCTCTAATTCTCCTGAGGGCAGGGAATGTGTTAATCTTTTTGCCTTTCTAACCTCAAACCTATCATAATGCCCCCTAATAACTATTTTCTGAATGAATAGGTGGTCAGTGAGCCTTGGAAAGGAAGAAATCCCAGCCCCAGGCTTCTTAGGGAGCTCCAGTTTCTGAGGCTGAACAAAGAGGAGGGGGTTGCTGATCTTTTGGTTCAACCCAGACTCCTTTCCTGCCCACTGTGTGGGTCCTGTTAAGGGAATCAGACTTGGGACACAAGAGCCCTTTGAGAGGCCCTATCTTGAAGCCCTGAGACAGAGGGCAGATCAAGCTCCATGAGTAGGACTGGGGGTCCCTGGAAGCTCCCACCTCCCTTCCCATCCCCCTGTGTCAAACTTAAAAGAGGGAGGTGTTGGAGGGGGCTGTGAGGTCCTGGCCTTGGGCCTCTCATCTAAAACTGAGTTGGAAAAGAACCAAGGCCGATTCTGGAAGGCTCCATGATCCAAAAAGGAAGGGGAGTCTGGGTTGAAGATGAAAGCAAAGCCGCTTAAGGAGGTTTAACCCTGGCAGGACTTACATCTGCAGTGAGGAGGGGACTGTGAGCACGCACCTGTGTGTGGGCATGCGTGGTCACTGGGCATTGGGCCAGGAGCACAGGAAAAGGAACCAAAGCATGGGGCACAGGTCTCCAGGCACGAGAAGACCTTCCCTGCGGAAAAAGCAGGAGGCAGAGAACCAGTGTTCTGGCTTAAAGGAGAGTGGACTTGTGTTTGCCAGCTTGGGGGAGGGGTTTTTCCAAGAGGGGTACTTGGGGTTCGGGAAAGTCCCTGAGCCAGCCCCTTCCTCCTCAGGCTGTGCCTTCCTCACCTACTGCGCCCGGGACTCTGCTCTCAAGGCCCAGAGTGCACTGCATGAGCAGAAGACCCTGCCAGGGGTAAGTCACCAGGGCTGGGGGGTGGGAGTCCCACCAAGCTGGGGACAGTGCCCTGTGCGCATGCAAGAGCCGCAGGTGGGGCTGGGTCGGGGCGGAGAATAGGAGCAGCATCACTTCCTAGGCGAGCACGTACTGTGTCCTGAACAGCTGCAGTTTCTACAAAACTCAGTCTCCGGCTCAAAGAAATGGGCTCAAGATCCAAGGGCTAAGCATTTCCTCCTATCTTTTAGGAGAGGGAAACATTTTGTGGTCTGGGCTAAAATTTGTTCACCTTGGCTAAAAGCACGGCTCCAGGTGTAAGCATGTGTGTAGTTACTGTTGTGAGCATGCGTGTAGTTACATGGGGTGGGCGGCTCTGCCGGGCTGGTATCCTGTTTTCTCTAGTCCTGTGGTCTTGGATGGCACTTCGTTTTGGCCCCCTTCCTCTAATACTTTTGGAGGGCAGATGCCTTTACTCACCAAGACTGTCTTTGCTCTACACTTCAACACTTAGCTCGAGTTTGGTGAGATCCTAAGGCAGCAGAACTTGTAAGCATACATGACACAGGGTCTGTTCTTGGTTGATGAATAATTACTGGACAAAAGGCTAAGTGGGCCTTCTAGACAAAGTCACAGATGAAAGTCACTAAATGAGAGCAAGCCACACTGCACAGCGTTTTCTCTTCTCCCAAGTGTGGTGTGTCTAGGACAAGAGCTCTCTTCAAATGTCATGGGCAGGCCAAATCCAGGACTGTATCCGCTCTAGGCCTCCACTTGAAGAGGGTCACTAGCTTATCAAAGCGAGAACAGCAAGTGGAAGCAAATACTCAAACCATCCTGGGATGGTACTGGAAGGAACTGGGGAGATGTTACCAGAGAATCCAGGCTCTAAGTGGGGCTTAGATAGAAAGGCATCGTAACATAACCATTAAGAATACCGTTTTTTAAGCTGGACATGGTAGTGCACGCCTATCATCCCACACTCAGGAGGCTGAGGAAGGAGGATCTCCATGAGTTCAAGGCCAGCCTGGGCTACACAGTGAGTTCAAGGCCAGCCCGAACTACATAACAGGACCAAAAAAAAAAGTGGGTTTCAAGTTTTCCAGATGTACATTTGAATCTCAGCTCTGGCATTTACCAGTTCAGTGTCTCCGAAACATGACTCAGACTCTTGCTCTTCAGATTACCCATCTATGAAGAGTGGGCTGTACTCACTGCTAGCTCTCTCGGCTGTAGTGAGGCAAGGTGCAGTGTAAGGAAGTCACCGCTCTGAGTTGGAGCTGTCCAGCAATGGAACAAGCTTTGTAAGAGTGACCAAGTGTCGTGGGGTGTCATAGCCTAGAACCATTGTAGTCACTGAAGCAGCTTGAACCTCACTCTTGGAGACTCAGGGCCAAGTAGCCCCAGTTTCCAACCATCGTCCGTCCTCTGTACGCAAACTATGAAGTCGGAGGGACCCGGCTGTAGACTCATGCCTGCTGCTTCCAGGTCTGTGACCTCGGGCAAGTCCTACCTCTAAGCCTAGGTTTCTCCACCTGTACGACTGCACTCACAGTTATGCTGGTTGAAAGAGTCAAGCCATGTAAAGTGCTTAGCACAGTTCTTGGGAGAAGGAACTCCCCGAGGGTCAGCTGGTGGTAGTAGCAGCAGTAGTACCAGGGACAGTAGTTGAAGTCATCATTCTTCTCATCATGGGAGCAAACGAATTGTGCCGCTAGTACTGGGATGCCGTGAGACGAGCCATGACACCCGTGCGGGAAACAGCTCAGTAAAGGGCGGAAGCAGAAGGAACAGGTGGGTGTGAGCGCGGCAGGGCTGGCGGGACCCTGGGAAGCAGCGGCTGAAGGGGAACTGAACGCCACCAGAGGAACTTGGACTTCATCCTGAAAGCCAGTGGGAGAAACTGCAAAACATTAAGGTGAACTTCAAGGGGACGAAAACTTCCCAACGAGCCCAGGGCTCTACTAGATGAGGGCTCCCTGGAGGACTCTACAGCCTGAGTACCCCTGAACAAAGGGCTGAGAAGACCTAGAGAGCTGGGAGAATTACCGGGGAGAAAAACAAAAGAATAATAACTAACAACAATCTGGGCTGGGGCTATAGCTCAGTGGCATAAGTGCCTGCCTGGCAAGCACAAGGTCCTGAGTTTGATTCCTGGTACAAAAAACAAAACAAAACAAACAAGCAACTAACAACAAAGGGGGGCCAATGACCATAGGACTTGCCACGTTCTTCTGTGTTTGGTCTTTTGGGATAGAGTCTCACCATATAGTTCAAGCTGGCCTTTAACTCACTATGAGCCTGGTGGGCAATCCTCCTGCCTCAGCCTCTCAAGGGCTGGGATTACAGGTGTGCACAAGCACAATCAGCTATTTTTCATATTCTACATCATTAGATCTTTTATGAGGAAGGTATTGTTTTGGTATCTCCATTTGAGTCCTAAAAGTCAAGTGATGTGTCCAAGGTTGCAGATCGACTGATAAGAAGGTCTGGGCTTTGGGCCCAGTTGGTTCGGCTCCAGAACTCATTCACTTAACTACCGTGCTGTCACCTGAGCCAACACGATGGCAGACAGGGCTCTGAGGTGCTGGGGACGATGGTGACTGGGGATGTCTACCCTTTCCCATCCAGCCATCTGCAGACCTCAACGTGGCCTGGCTTCCTCTGCTACGCCAGCATTGGCTTTATTCACTCTCCCCAGCTTAACAAAGTGAAAATTAATATTTAATTATTCCCCTGAATGAAAATCAATAGCTGTGTTGGCCAGCCCCAGCCATGTCTGTGCCATCCATCTTTCTCCCCAGCCGGCTGGCCAGGGGCAGCAGCAACTTGGAGAGGAACAGGCGTCCAGTTCCCGGTAGGCGCAGGGTCCCGGGAACCGCTGCCACCTGCTGGAGGAGCAGGGGTAGGACAGGGCATCATCGGGGGCTCCTGGTGCAATATGGCAGGCCTGTCACTGCGGGGCTAGAAAATGCTAGGTCAGCGGGGCCTGGTGGTGCAGGCCTGTAATCCCAGCACTTGGGAGGCTGAGGCAGGAGGATCGTTGGGAGTTCGAGACCAGCCTGGGCTACAAAATGAGTTCAAGGCCAGCCTGAACTGCAGAGCGAGACCCTGTCTCAAAAAAAGACAAAACAAAAACAAAACAAAAAAAAAAAAAAAAGAAAAAGAAAAAGAAAAAGCTAGGTCAACCCCCAGAGAAAACCTGGGCCTTTGGGAGTGGGGGTGGGTATTTAACAGAATTGCCTAGATGAACTCTCGTCTTTCTCTTTTTTATTTATTTTTTTGTGGTATTAGGGATTGAACCCAGGGCCTTCACACTAAGCTACATCTCCAGCCCTTTTTTGTTTTCTATTTTGAGACAGGGTCTTGCTAAGTCACCAAGTTGCCTACACTGGGCTTGAACCTGTGGTTCTGCCTCAGCCTCCCGGAGTGCTGGGTTTACAGGCATGTGCCATCACACCCAGCCTGAGACCTCTTCCCATCTTCCCTCCACTTGCCTGCTGTCAATTGCTGTCATTTATCAAAATCTGGCTTCCAGTCTGACATGCTGGCTCACACCTGTAATCCCAGCACCCTGGGAGGCTGAGACAGGAGGATCACTAGTTCAAGCCCAGCCTGGGTAACTTGGTGACTTAGTAAGACCCTGTCTCAAAACAAAATTAGGCTTCCTGCTCCATCCTATGTGGTTCCTGTCTCCCGCAGCCTCTTCCCCATGAAGCTGGAGCTACTTCTTCTAGCCTCATTTTTTTGTTTGTTGTTTGAGACAGGATATGTAGCCCAGATTGGCCTCGAACTCATGGTTGGGCTCCTGCCTCAGACTCCCAAGTGCTGGGATTAGGGGCCTGCACACCATGTGGAGCCAGCCTCACTTTTTTATTTGTTCATTCATTTTGGGGGGCAGAGTCTTGGTATGTAGCCCAGGCTGGCCTTGAACTCATGGTGATCCTCCTGCCTCAGTCTCCCCAGTGCTGGGATTACAGGTGTGCACCACTATGGCCAGCTTGAAGTCTCACTTTAGGCTCCAGCACCAACCTGAAAGGAGTGAAGCCAATTTCAGCTCCAGTTTCTGAGGGAGGGAAACCCCTTATTTGTCTGTCTCCCTGCCCAGGAGCCCCCTTCATGGGAGACCCTCTTCAAACACTGAAGGAGGCAGATGCCGCTGAACAAGGAAGGGCATTTGCTTCCACCAAATAGCTTGGACAGAGAGCGAATGGAAGCCAAAATTCAGAGCTGTGTCAGCCCAGAGGAAGGGACGCACTTTGTCCTCATCTAGCCCCCGGGGTTGGGAGGGCCTTTGTGTCACTCACAGAAGTCGCTCCCAGCGCTGCCACCCGCTCAGGGTGAGAGTGAGCCTCTGGCCTCGGGGAGCAACCAGGCCAGAGATCACTCAGCCCACAAGACTGGGGCTCACCCTGGGCGGGTCAAAGAGGCGTCAGAGTGAAGGAGGTGCTTGGCAGAGGAGCTGCTGGGCGGAATAAGGACTATGTTTTGTGAACACGAAAAGCCAAAGGCCAGTTCTGAGAGGAGGGGGATCATAGGAGAGCAGCGGGAAGACGCCCCAGACTACAGGCGCTGCGCATGCGTGGAGAGAGCACCGCGTGTGTTGGGCGCCCATGCAGGAAAGCTGTTTTAAGCAGGGAAAGGTAAGGGGCTGCTTGTAAAAGATCTCTCTGAGCCAGGCGTGGTGGCACACGCCTGTAATCCCAGCACTCGGGAGGCTGAGGCAGGAGGATCACTGCAAGTTCAAGACCAGCCTGGGCTACAAAATGAGCTCAAGGCCAGCCTGAACTGCATAGTGAGACCTTGTCTCAGAAAGCAAGAAAAAAAGAAAAAATAAAAGTATCTCTGGCCACGCTGTGAAGGTAGAGTGGAAGAGGGAGCAGCACTAGAGACAGGATGGCCCTGCAGGACAGTGTCCCTGGAGTCTGGTAAATCAGAGTGTGCGCTGGCCGGGAGCTGGGGACGGGGAAGGTGTGGGAAGCAGAGGTGGACTTAGGACAGCCACAGAGATTCTGCATAGTGAGGGAGTGAGGTAGAACGAAATGCTGAAAATGATGAAATTTGCTTTTATTGTTTGTTGAGACAGGATCTCGCTATGTAGCCCAGGCAGGCTTTGAGCTCACAGCGATTATCCTGCCTCAGCCTCCCAAGTGCTGGGATTACAGGTGTGCGCCACCACATTCTGCTCAGAATTTGCATTTTTTCTACCCCACTGTTCCCTGACTCTCACACCCCTCTCCCGGGCTCACCCATGGTCCCTGCTGTGGGTGGGAGGAGCAGAGGGAAGGAGCTCCAAGGAGAGGAACAGCAATGCCCAGCCCAGGCAGGAATGTTAGGCAACTCAAGCCCAGAGCTGCAGTGGGTCTTGCTTCCCGCTCTGCTTACAGGCTCGGAAGGACTGGGGTCTTGGGCATGTCTGTGCCACCTTCAACCTTCCCTCTCCTTTGTGTGGCATAGGTTGTTTTCAGCGGGGATCTGACATTCTCCGCCTTGATTTCCCCTCCGAAGTCCTGAAGCAGACACAGGGGATTCTGATTGCCTTGCCCCACTCCCAGCTCTCTCTCCTGGTCCTGGCAGGAGCAAGGGGGCACCGTCTCATGTGGGCAGCTCTCTTTCAGCCAGATGTAGCCCCCAAATCTCAGGTGCCCTGTGGAGGCAGAGGCGCAGAGCCCTGGGGAGCACTCTTCTCCCCAGCTCTACTCGTCCTCTTGGTCGCTTCTCTCCTCCCTGGACCCCCAAACTCCCAAACCTCCGAGTTCCTCAACTCCTCAGCCATAAGCCCAAGCACCAGCCGACACTACCTCCTTTCCCTCGGCCCCTAACTTAAACGAAATCCAGTTAACTCTTCCCGAACATTGCTTCAATCAGCCCAGCTCCTTCTACCCTGATCCCAGTCGCCCCAGCTCTTACCTTGCCTGATCTTCTTGCCTTGAGTCGCTCCCTTTACAATCCTTTCTGAGACCAAAACTGACTACAAATCATGAGACTAAACTGACTACATTCTCCCCCTGCCTGAAGTGCTGCCTGATCCCCGCTGCCTTCAAAACACGCCAGGGTCGGAATTCCTCCCTGCGCTTTCCCAGCACGCCCCGCTGCTGTTCAGTGCCACAGCCTTCTGCCGAATCAGGACAAAAACCACACACCGAGAAATGAACGAGCTATCTGGTGCCCCCTCTGAGGTGACGCCGGTGTCTTCTTCACCCCAACCCTGAGAGGTGGGGTCATGAGTCCTCCTTTCCCAGATGGGGATACTGAGGCTCAGAGACCAGAGAGAAGTTCCCAGGGTTATAGCCAGGATTTGCTTATTTATTTAGGTTTTCTGAGGCAGGGTTTTGCTATGTGGTTCAGGCTGGCCTTAACTCACCATGTAGCCCAGGCTGGCCTTGAACTCCCGGCGATCCTCCTGCTTCAGCCTCATGAATGCTGGGATGACAGGTGTGCCCCAGCACATGTGGCACTGTGGCCAAGACTGAAGTCCACATCAAATTGAGAAGCAATTTGTTCTACCCTGGCAACCTCCTGTCCATGCCCAACCATCATTTTTTTTTTTTTTTTTTTTGGTCTTCTTGAGACAGCGTCTCTCTGTGTAGTTTAGGCTGGCCTTGAGCTCACTTTGTAGCCCAGGCTGGTCTCGAACTCGAAATGCCTCCTGCCTCAGCCTCCCGAGTGCTGGGATTACAAGGGTGTGCCACCATGCCCGGCTCAGGCCCAGCCATCTGAGTGCTCAGCTGCTAGCCTTTGCTCTCCCAGTATCTCCATGTGACTGTGGTCACATGAGGCCCAGGGCACACACTGCTCCCTTGTGAAGCTTTTCCAACATCACCCTCTCCCGCTGAAGTTTGCCTTACCCCTAGCTCTCCACCTCAGCTGCCCTGGTCCCTCTGCATGTCATTATTTGTTTTCATGTTTTAAGAATGAAGTTGAGCCAGGTGTGGTGGTGTACACCTGTAATCCCAGCACTCAGGAGGCTGAGGCAGGAGGATCAGTGTGAGTCCGAGACCAGCCTGAGCTACAAAGTGAGCTCAAGGCCAGCCTGAACTGCATAGCAAGACGCTGTCTCAAAAAAAGACAAAAAAAAAAACAAAAACAAAAACAAAAAAAAACCAGATACTGTATACCACTCAATTGCTGGAATACCTAGCAAGACCCTCTCTCAAAACAAAATGAAAGGAAACAAAACAAAACAAAACAAAATGAAGAATGGAGCTGAGCAGCACAATGCAAAAATCATGGATGTCACTCTCAGACAGACCTAGGGGACCTGTGTCTGTCCCTTGTCTCTCCTTCAGCAGCTCCACCACTTCCTCACCATGGGACCTTACACATGTGATGTATCCTCCCTCGGCCTCAGCTTTCTCTTCTGTAATGTAGAAGAACATACAGCCCAACATTGAAAGGACTTGGGGACAGTGTACACAAAAGTGCCCTATGGACAGACTGGCACATGGTGTGTCCGTGGGAAATGGTGACATTATCTTCCCCTCTTGAGCCTTCAAGGACAGTGACTGCGTCTAGGCAAGCGCTGTCTCCCCTGCAGGGCCACCCTGGGGCTCCTCATGGAAACACCAGTGGCCTCCATCTCTGTGCAGCGGTTGGGAGTTCACCCTCCAGCCTCTGGCACCCGGACCCTACCAAGTCCGCCACCTGATGCCCACTGTCCCTGGAAGGGTGGGAGGTGAGGACAGGGCGTTGTCCAGAGCATCAGTGAGCACCATCTCCCGGGAAACCTGGCTGGGAGGCAGCTGCCATGGAAACTGCTGCTGTCACATGCACTGGGCTCTCCAGGCCCCAGAGAGAGCATCTCAGGATCTATTTAAGAATTAATAAAATAATGATGGTCTTGCTCACCCTCGCTGCCTGCACCCCAGGCTGCTGCCCTCTCCCTTCTTCCCCGTGAAGACTTCTCTGTCCTGCTGCACCGCTTCCTGATCCTACATCTCGTTTCCTTCCATCGCCACTACCATTCTCTCGCCTTGCCCCATCCTTGTGTGTCTCTTACTTTTTCTCATTTCTTCCTTCCTGTGTTTCCTTGTCTTTCCCGTGTCTCTGCTGCCTGTAGCTCTGTCCCTTGGTCTCTCCTTCACTATCACAGGTGGCCATACCCCGGGATGGTCCTGTCCTCCTGGTCCCTGGTCCAGGCCAGTCCGGCTCACCCTGTCCTGCTCACCCTCCTTGCCTGGCTTGATCTGTCATCCCCTTTAGACAGCTCCCTGAGTCCTGTTGGCGTCTCGGCCCCCACCCACCGCCTGGCACACTGGCACACCGCTAGAGGGTGGGTGTGTCAGAGCCCTGGATGGGAAGGGGTCTGTGCTGCTTCAGGCTTCGCCTGCTTTCCTTTCCTTGTTTTTATTTTTTAAAAAGTCCTCCCCACCCCTCCCACCCCCCAAATTTGATCCGAAGGAAATTGCTCAACTGTGACTGCCAGGGCGTTACCATAGTTACCGGGTAGCACTTGTGGCTATGGTAACAGGAAGCTGCCTGTTGTCTCGGCAACGAGCACATTGGTAGGGGATGGCGTGGCCCCTGATTGGTGCAGAAGCAGTGCATTTCCTGAGGGGAGGGGGTCAGATCATCACCTTCTCAGGCCAGATGGGCATCAGTAACCCTTCCTCCGTGAACAGGGAGGCCGCTCTTCCTGCCTCCCGGCACTCAGCTCTCTGCCCCCCCACCAATAATTCCTCACATCCTACGCACCCGGCTCTTGGCACTTTACCAAGACCTTTTGCGTCCCCATTACCTCATGTGATCCCCACAACACCCATGAGAGGAAGGTGAGATGGGGTTCAATCATGAATTCACTTAGGGTGGTTGGGGGATGGGGCTGTGGGGGGGTCTCTTAGCATCACCCAGGAGCTCTTCAAAGCATACAGTCCCACCAACCTAAGAGTCTCATATGGTTCCCTGGGGATTCTTAACCATCTCTGGTCATCGGACCCTTGAATTAAAAGATGTAACTGGTTGGAGGGCGGGGAAGCCACGCTGGGAGAAGCCCACGCTGGGCTTCCGGGTTTACAGTTTGGGGGCCCAGGGGGCCCAGGTTCAGGAGAAAGATGAGCTTGGGATTGGGTGTGATGAGTGGAAGGTGCCAAGGCCTTTGTGGCCAGGATGTCCAGCAAGCAGCTGCGAACGAGGCTGTGAGGCTCAGGAGGGAATGTGGGCCGGGGCGCGGGGCTCTGAGTCATGCCTGTGTGGACAGAGCGGCCGTGGGTGTGGGTGAGGCCATCCCGGAAGAATGAGGAGAGCGGATGAGCAAGGGCCGAGGCTGGGGCCCGAGACAGCGCCAGCACCCTCTGAGGAAGGGGCCCGGGGAGGGGCCGGAGAGGGTGAGTGCGGAGCCTGTGATGTCACAGGGGCTTGGGAATGGTTTCTCCCTGTGATGAATTGCACCTGGGAGAGAGTAGCTTATTTCAGCTCAGACAACACGGAATGCTAGAGTTGGGGTAGACAGCACCACATCTGATTTCATCTAAATGACACACAGCGTAAGTCTCTAGTTTTACATTTAAAACATAAATGTGCAGTATCAGTTGCACCCTCTCACCCACCTCCTCTCCCTCAAAGCTGTAAGTAAGGTTCGGGAGCCAGAGAGAGACAGACCTCTTCAGCCATCTCCTTCCACCCTGGGCTTGCCTGGAGCAGCCTGCCCCTCGTCCCTGCAGGTTTCTGCCTTTCTAAATGCCTGGGTTTAAGGAAGGGGTCTTGGAAAACATCTGTGGTCCCAGGGGGAATGCTGGAGGACAGAATCCAAAGGGGCCAGGGCTCAGCTGCTGAAGAGTCCAGGGGCAGTGAAACCTGGGTCCCAGGACCAAGCGGGCCTGCTGAACGCATGTGTTGGTCCAATGTCTTTCAGATGAATCGTCCGATCCAAGTGAAGCCGGCTGCCAGTGAGGGCCGAGGAGGTAACGTTCCTGTCTGACCAACCTCAGGCGTCCCCATGTAGGGGATGGCGGGCATATTTCTGGAGTCAGTCCTACCTGTGGCTTCTTAACAGACCCTTCCTGGCTGGGGGAGACAAGGGGGGCCCCAGAGTTCCTCAGTCTCAGAAGCATCTCAGCCAGCCCCAGCTCAGGCTGCAGTGGGGTGAGGTCTGGGGAACTCAGTTTTGTTTTTTTTTTTTTTTTTTGGTTTTTCTCTGGTACCGGGAACTGAACTCACGACCTTGCGCTTGCCAGGCAGGCGCTTTGCCGCTGAGCTAAATCCCCAGGCCCGAGGTCTGGGGAACTCAGACCCAAGACAGGAAGGGCAGAAGCAGATGCTGGGGTCAGAGGGAGGGAGTGCTCCCACCTTACCCCTGAAGAGTGCTCGTTCCTGCTTTGCTAGGTAGAACTGAACGGGTGTGCTTGAAGAATCAGGCTGGAGTTACTCTTCTTTCCCAGATTCTCCTGATTGCAGAGAACCGTTCCACTTTGGATTGAGGCCACTCATTCCGGCGCTGTCACTGCCTGCTTAATCATGGTGAAAGATGGGACTGGGACAATAGGCTTTGCAAGACACAGGAAGGAACTAGATTCTCCGATGAGAAGCCTAGAAAGTCTGCGAGAGTTTCTTCAGATGCACTCTTTTGCGGTAGAGAGACTACTGCTCTTTAAAAACAGGAGTGATAAAAGCTTTCTAACAGCGTGCTAGACTCTGGCTAGCTTCCATTCTAGAAAGGTGGTGCGGGCTTCTTGTGTAGTTCTCGATGTCTTTCTTGCCCTTGGACCCTGTATTATTTCAGGGCGCCTGTCCGTAGCTTTCCTTGATGTCTGTTGACTCTCTCTTTGTTTGTTTCAATTTTTTTTGTTTGTGTTTTTTTTTTTTTTTTTGTATTTTTGAGACAGTGTCTCGCTATGCAGTTCAGGCTGGCCTTGAGCTCACTGTGTAGCCCAGGCTGGTCTCAAACTCACAACGATCCTCCTGCCTCAGCCTCCCGAGTGCTGGGATTACAGGTGTGTACCACCACGCCCGGCTGTTGACTCTCTCTTGAGTAAGACTCAAATTTCATGTTCATTGTCCACATTGTGCCGTGGTACCTTCGTGGAGTTCAGTTCTCCAGTAAATACTTCTGGCTTTTGTGGTACTATTGTGGAGTTCTATACTTCCAGGGCTTCATGGCACCATTATGGAGTTTGTTCTCCAGTAAGAACTCTACTTCCTGAATCCTTGCAGATTCTCTAACTTTGAGCTCTGATTTCTCATCTCTAGTTAAGGTGTTATCACCCCCACTTTGTCCTGGAGAGATGTTTCCAAGTTTCCTCCCCTTTCCCCATACATGCCCTCCTTTTCCGCTTCATTCTTTCCAGGCAGTTTTCAAGATGTGCCGGGATGCACATAAACCCGCTTGATCACAGATCCCAAGAATTTCCACTCCTTGGGAAGCTCTATTAGGCACCAGGGCCATTGTTGGCCATGTTCTAAGCCCTGCTCACAAACATGAGGAGGCCCCACAGATTGTCACCTAAGACACTCAAGTGAGCTGCGAAGCAGACTTGCGGAGTTGTTTTCAACCATCCAGCCATCTCTGAGGCTGTGAAAGGACGTGGACAGTTCAGGGTCACAATGCAGTGTGACCAGTGCTTCTCAAGGGCAAGTCTGGGGTGGGGGCATGGTGAGGGTGTACACAAGAGCTACCCAACCCACTCTGCCACGCTGGGAGGTCAGGATGCGCTCTCAGAGGTAGCGATATTTAAGGAGTGATCTCAAGGATGACAGGAAGTAGTCAGAGAAAGGAAGAGAGAGGGAGCGTGCATTTCAGGCAGAGGAAAGAGCAGCTCCCGAGGCCCCAGAGCTAAGCACACACAGTACGCCTCAGAGTCCTGATCAGGAGCTGGACCCAGTGTGGCCTCTGCGTATCACATCGGCCCTGGGGAAGCTGAGCGTGGGGGGCCTCTCACTGCTAGAGCTGCTTGCGCTTGGCCTTGTGCCGTCAGCCTGAGTGTTAGCATTTTTCCGTCCTTTCTGTACAAGTTTCCCAGGTGCCACCTCACTGACAAATTCTGCCTTCATGGCATCCCAGCTCGCATTCAGAGCAGCTCAAGAAGGGACGCAGGGCTGGGAATTTAGCTCAGCGGCACAGCACCTGCCCGGCAATCATGAGGTTGCGAGTTCGATTCCCGGTACCAAAAAAAAAAAAAAAGAAGGGAGGCTGAGCAAACCTAGCTGAAAGAGGGCTGCCCGGCTGCCAGACTCCCGGCCTTAGAAGTGACAGGTCACACAGCTATTTCTTGCCAAGAGATGGCTGCCGAGCAGTGTGCACGCTGAAAGCATCCGTGAGTCACCCGTGCAGACCCACACGTCCGGGTCGCTTAGCTCCTCCCTGCTCCTGCTCGGGACACGCAAGGCACATGGATCGGGTCTTGTAGGATGGTCCAGCCTTTATCATTTGTAACATTTTATGATTAGCGGACCAGTCATATAGTCTTGTTTCTAATCAAATGTGTTCCCTACCCTATTGTAGCTATCACACGGCTCTTCTAAAATGAGTTCGGTTCTGCTGAATTTTAACACAACTTACAGTTGAGGAGCTCAACTTTTAAAAATACAATTGAATTTTTGCTTTTGAAATGCAACAAATGGCCAGGCATTGTGGCGCGTGGCTGTAATCCCAGCACTCAGGAGGCTGAGGCAGGAGGATTGTTGTAAGTTCGAGACCAACCTAGGCTACAAAGTGAGCTCAAGGCCATCTTGAGCTGCATATCGAGACCCTGTCTCAAAAAAAAAAAAAAAAAAAGCAACAAATGAGCCGAGCATGGTGGTGCATATCTGTAATCCTAATATTCAAGAGGCTGAGGCAGGAAAATCACCATGAGTCTGATGCCAACCTGGGTTACATAGTGAGGACCTGTCTCAAACCACACATTCCACCATTTACTTCTAAAAAGGATAATTATATAATTCCTATAAAACAGGGATCACCAGCCAGGTATGGTGGTGCATACCTGTGATCCCAGCACTTGGGAGACTGAGGCAGAAGGATTCCTGCAAATTCAAGGTCAGCCTGGGCTACGTAGTGAGTTCAAGGGTGATCTGAACTATATGGTAATGCTTTGTCTTAAAAAGAAAAAAGAAACCAGGGATTACCAACTTAAATAGCTTAGGAACCCAGGAAATTAACCTTAAATGAAACTATCATGACTTAATAAAATATTATAGTTTAATTTTATAAAATCTTGGCAACTAATTCCACATTTTTTTAAAAAGACTAGCACTGTGAGAGCTTAACCAAACCTATCAAATTTGCTTCTTTAGAGCTGGGTGTGGTGGTGCAGGTCTATAATCCCAGCACTTGGAAGGCTGAGGCAGGAGGATCCCTGTGAGTTTGAGGCCAGCCTGGACTACAAAGTGAGTTCAAGGCCAGCCTGAACTGCATAGTGAGACCCTGTCTCAAAAAGACAAAGAAAAAGAGACAAACTTGCTTCTTTGGCCCAAAGTCTGCTCTTTTTCCCCATATACCATAAAGAGGTATTCTGTCTTGCACACAGGAGCTTTTTGACAAAAATAGTTACTTTATGTTCTGTCTCTCAAATTTTGATTCCAATGCAGAAGAATGCTAGTATTCTTAATTTTAATCAATAAGCAGGAGGTTTGTGGTAGAAATGACTAATGTCCATAGTATATGTTCTATTATTTCTAGTTGTTTTTTATTTGTTTGCTTGCTTTGGTTTTTTGTTTTGTTTTGTTTTTGGTACTGGGAATCAAACTCAGGACGTTGCACTTGCCAGGCAGGTGCTGTACCACTGAGTTATATCCCCGTCCCATTTGTTTTGTTTTTGAGCCAGGATCTCACTATGTAGTTCAGGCTGGGCTTGAAATCACTATGTTACCCAAGTTGGCCTCATACTCTAAGCAATACTCCTGCCTCAGCCTCCTGCATGCAGGAATTACACATGTGTGCCTCTCACCCAGCATCTGCCTATATTTTACAGCATGGGGTAGTTACACATCCTCCAACACTATTGGCCTTCATTTCTACTTTAAAGTTTCATAGTGTCAAAAACTTTATCTTCAGCATTTGGGTACATTTGAAGGTGAACTTTAAATATTTGCCTAAACTGGAGATGGTGGTGTGCCTCTATAGTCCCAGCTATTTGGGAGGCTGAAGCAGGAGGATCACTTGGACTCATGAGTGTGAGGCCAGCCTGGGCAACATAGCAACACCTCCTCTCGAAAGAAAGAGAGAGAAAGAAAGGGAAAAATAGAAGTGGGGGAAGAACTTAGATAAAAACCCAAGGTTCATGTATTTCAAAATGTTAACCTTGGGGTGGCTGAGATCAGAGGTGCAGTGACCCAGATTCCTCAGACAATGTTAACTAAATAAGTCTATTTTATTTGCTGTTTGCCATGGGGACTGCAATTGATTTTTCTCAACTAACACTATCTCTAATTTGGAAACACTAATGAAAGTTAAATACTAAGTACAGTCCTATAGGAAAAGTATTTTTTATTCACAAGGCAAAAAATCTTAAAAATCACTGAACTCCTATACTTTTTCTTCTCTTTCAAATCTCATAACATAGAATCAATACATCCATAGATCACAATGGTGATTATCCTCATTGTTGTACTTCCCAGCTTGGCTGTATTTTTTATGCAGTAAACTTTTATTTTGTTAGGGTTTGGTTTTTTTTGTTTTTTTTTTTTTTTACTTTTTAAGACAGGGTCTCGCTATGCAGTTCAGGCTGGCCTTGAGCTCGTAATGATCCTCCTGCCTCAGCCTCCCAAGTGCTGGGATTACAGGCATACACCACCATGCCTGGCATCCAGTTTTTTTTTAAATTTTTTTTTTACTAAAAGTATTTATGTGTCTAAGATCCCTGAGATGTAGAATAGGTTAAGTAATCAATCTATAAACTCTTTCCATGTGAGTTTTTTGTTTTGTTCTTTATCCTTCAAATTTAAACATTCTTAGAGGAGTGTGTGT